CTGGTGTAATGTACTCAGGTGAATAAGATGTTTGTGCGATGTTACTCTGAGTGTATATCCATACCGGGCAGGCTTGAAAAATATGCCTGGCCACGGCGGGATTCGAACCTACGACCTTTGGAATACTAGCCCAAAGATTACACTGATATCGAAGGAACTAGACTCAGTTCTGAAATATCGCATACTCGAACCGTCCTGACCGCGTAGCTCAGTTGGAAGAGCATTGGGCTAGTATTCCAAAGGTCGTAGGTTCGAATCCCGCCGTGGCCAGGCATATTTTTCAAGCCTGCCCGGTGTGGATATACACTCAGAGTAACATCGCACAAACATCTTATTCACCTGAGTACGTTACACCAGCACAGCAGATTTCATAATATGAAACTGTTTTTTCTAAAGAGAACAGTTTATAACTTATAAAGCAATTCAATATAAATAAAGTTAGTTTAGTGTAAGATTTTTGATTTGTGTTCCTCCTATATAGAGGTACATATATGAGTAACACTGGGCAATACGCCACATTCTGTAGGAAATTAACCTACAGTGTTTGATACAGTCAAACTGGAATCACTTTGCATCTTGGTCACATGTGACTACTGAGGTGGAAATATAATAAGGCCTATATTGCAAGAATTGAACCCCGGAAACAGAGATGAAAGACATGCACGTGTACTAACCACTGTGCTGCAAGATCATATTTTTTTATGTAAACAGCCACAAGAAACTACATCCAAACCTGGCGGTTTTGCGGGTATTCCATCTTTTAATGATGGTTTGGAGGGTGACGCATCTACAGGTATTGATTAAGAATTGTCTTGTATTCGTTAAGCCCAGCACAAGAGAGCTGACCTAAGAGCGACGATCTTTTAAATTAAAGGCTGGATTCAGTGATCGCAGACACAGTAGGAATTTTGCACAGGGAAATTGTAAGTTTTGAAGGATTAAAAAGAAATGCTCGATGGAAACTTACTCACTGTTAAACACTAAGTCAGTCCCCTCAAACATTTCTTACAAATCCATCAGAACATATAGAATTTACCCATACAAAATTCCTATACTGTGATCAAAGAAACTTTGATGGTGTGAGCCAGCCTTAAACAACCCATTAAATTCATGAGCACATTTACTCAATTTGTTTGAGTAAAATTTCACATTGACTCAATGTTTTGAGTAAAGATTTACTTTGGTCAAACAAATGAATAAATATGCCCATAAATTTGACCAATAGGCAATTCCAGCTTTTAGTTTATGCGTGCAGGGGACGTTGGGAAGTAAGGTATCACGTTGCTGATTATGCTTAAAAAATAAAGGGAGTGATAGCTTATACTTGAAAATATATTGAAATATTTTGGTTGTTTCGGTAGTTTTTATTGAAATTTTTCAGCATAATCACCAATATGATACCTTACTTCCCATCATCCCCCGCAGGCATAAACTAAAAGCTGGAATTGCCAATTGTACTCAAAAGGTTTATGCAGTGATGTTACACATATAGCCTGACACTTCTTTTGCTCCGTGAAAACAAGACCAACGTTTGTAAATTTCTCATCCTATAGATTTTGAGTAATCTTGCTGACAAACACACACACACAGTTACACACCCACAGATACATAACCTCCAGGCTCGGGCAATTTGTTAGAACAATTTCAATGAGTTGTATCAATATTTTTCAGAACCCAAGGTTACTACTCCTAACCAGCCATCGACTCAAACAGTCTCTACGCTCAACACACAGGTGAGTGTCGTGTTGTACTGGAGAGATCAAAGACAAAACTAAAATTGTACTGAGTAGCCTTATCAGTTCTAAACTGATCTCCTAGAGGTCCAGTAAAAGTCATCTCTTATTGATCCAGCTGTGTCACTTCAAGACAAAGACATAATCGATTGAATATACTAAAACTGTCTGTACCAGTGTGGGTAGTACCAATGTGAAAATGCTGTGCTGAATGGTTATATTACTACCTCAAAAAATAAGCAGAAACTCGACGTTTCCTCCTGTAGTAACACTGCAGATAAATTAGAGATGACCCTTATACTGGACCTCTAGGATGAACAGTTTAGAACTGATAGAGCTTAATTTCCAGTAATAAAATAAAGTTAGTTTAGTTTTTCATTTATGCATTAAATTCTATAGTTAATAGTGAATACAAAAAATACCTTAGTTATTTCATATTTTATAGAATTAGACAAACCATGTTATATAAATGAACTCACCAATAAAATTCGGAACAAAATTGTATTGCTGATTGACTTTACACAACGGCTGGAAAAACACAAGTGCATTTTAATTGTTAGAGGAAAAATTTTTATCTTATTGATAACTGGATCTTAAGATGCCGGCAGGACACATAATAAATACCGGAACGGTTCAAAATTTATAGTAATTAATAAACAAGATCTACAGTAGAAGTTTAATAAAGCTGCAGAATTCGAACTTTTATTAAAAATATAATTATTTTCTAGATGCTGCATGAATAATGCATATATATTTTTATATTATAGTTGAATATGCGGTTAAATATATAAAGTATATATACTCTTTATTTCGAGACAATTTTAGTATTAGTATATTACTAAAGAATTAAGAATATTTTATGTGAAAATATCTCTGCACTCTGTCCGTGACCCTGCATGTAGCAATGACCTGTGACCCATATTAATATTACTGCATTTGTAAATAATATGTATAACGTTTTTTTAATATCTGGGTATAGTTAGCGCTCGAAGCTTCGATAATTATAAGGCAAAAGAGGTTTCATTAAAAAAGACGGCTAAAATATATAATGTCTCGTCCGTCTGTTTATTAAAATGATTAAAAATTTAAAGCTGCGTTTATGGATTTTAATGAAAACTTAACTTTTAAATGATCCAAACTATTGTTAACCATTTCGTTGACGTTTTAAGTCCACGTTAATCTAAAGACAGTAGAATAGTTTTGACTTGTGTTTGCCGTACCGTCATTGCGAAATATGAATATCAGGATTTTATATTGGATCTTAGCGGTGTGTTTGTTGTTCACATTGTATCATTTTGCTGGAACAACTGAAGCCTTTCCTTTCTCTGATAAACCTTTACAAAACTTTACAAGTTCCTCAACGCTTGGCAGTTATAATGAAACAATGAATGCAACTTCTCGGCCTCAAGTAAGCCTATACAATTTACAATACCAAATATTTGGGGGACGTGCATGGTAGCATAATAAATGTATTTATCGGGGTTTTGATTCCTAGTATTCCTGACTTGATTGATTATAATTTCACCTCAATCACATGCGAGAAGAGTACTTCCTGTTTGGCCCTGCACAGGTTTTCTCCGTGACATTCTGCATGGTTTCCTCCTATAGTACATGACCAGTATGAGATGGCCCACTAGAGAGAAGAGTTTAGAACTGATAGAGCAATCCAGTATAAAAAAGTTAGTTCAGTTTAGGTTTCCTCCTGTATATAGTAATACTGCATGATCAAGAAGAGATGATCCTTAGTCCTTACTGGATCTCCAGAGAAAACAGTTTAGACTAACTGCTAAAGCAATCCAGCATAAAAAGTTAGTTTAGTTTAGGTTTCCTCCTGTACTAACACTAGTCAGATCCAGTAAGAGATGACCTTTACTGCATACATGGACCTCTATTTAGAACTGATAGAGTTATCCAGTATAAAATAAAATTAGTTTAGATTTCCTCCTGTAGCTGGATCAATAAGAGATGATCCTTATACTGGACCTCTAGAGAAAACAATTTATTGTCTATGATGTAACTGATAAAGCAATCCAGTATAAATGAGGTTGGTTTAGTTTAGGTTTCCTCCTATAGTAACACTAGATCAATAAGAGATGACCTTCCATCGAAAAACTTTTTCGTATCTCTGAGGATGGTTCTCTTTAGAGATCCAGCAAAGGTCATCTCTTGTTGATCATTAGGGTTACTATAGGAGGAAACCTAAACTAAACCAACCTCATTTACACTGGATTGCTTTATCAGTTCTATTGGCGGAAAAACCAGTTTCATATTATTATTTAGATTTTAGAATAATATGAAACTGGTTTTTCTAAAGAGAACAGTTTATAACTTATAAAGCAATTCAATATAAATAAAGTTAGTTTAGTGTAAGATTTTTGATTTGTGTTCCTCCTATATAGAGGTACATATATGAGTAACACTGGGCAATACGCCACATTCTGTAAGAAATTAACCTACAGTGTTTGGTACAGTCAAACTGGAATCACTTTGCATCTTGGTCACATGTGACTACTGAGATGGAAATATAATAAGGCCTATATTGCAAGAATTGAACCCCGGAAACAGAGATGAAAGACATGCACGTGTACTAACCACTGTGCTGCAAGATCATATTTTTTTATGTAAACAGCCACAAGAAACTACATCCAAACCTGGCGGTTTTGCGGGTATTCCATCTTTTAATGATGGTTTGGAGGGTGACGCATCTACAGGTATTGATTAAGAATTGTCTTGTATTCGTTAAGCCCAGCACAAGAGAGCTGACCTAAGAGCGACGATCTTTTAAATTAAAGGCTGGATTCAGTGATCGCAGACACAGTAGGAATTTTGCACAGGGAAATTGTAAGTTTTGAAGGATTAAAAAGAAATGCTCGATGGAAACTTACTCACTGTTAAACACTAAGTCAGTCCCCTCAAACATTTCTTACAAATCCATCGGAACATATAGAATTTACCCATACAAAATTCCTATACTGTGATCAAAGAAACTTTGATGGTGTGAGCCAGCTTTAAACAACCCATTAAATTCATGAGCACATTTACTCAATTTGTTTGAGTAAAATTTCACATTGACTCAATGTTTTGAGTAAAGATTAACTTTGGTCAAACAAATGAATAAATATGCCCATAAATTTGACCAATAGGCAATTCCAGCTTTTAGTTTATGCGTGCAGGGGACGTTGGGAAGTAAGGTATCACGTTGCTGATTATGCTTAAAAAATAAAGGGAGTGATAGCTTATACTTGAAAATATATTGAAATATTTTGGTTGTTTCGGTAGTTTTTATTGAAATTTTTCAGCATAATCACCAATATGATACCTTACTTCCCATCATCCCCCGCAGGCATAAACTAAAAGCTGGAATTGCCAATTGTACTCAAAAGGTTTATGCAGTGATGTTACACATATAGCCTGACACTTCTTTTGCTCCGTGAAAACAAGACCAACGTTTGTAAATTTCTCATCCTATAGATTTTGAGTAATCTTGCTGACAAACACACACACACAGTTACACACCCACAGATACATAACCTCCAGGCTCGGGCAATTTGTTAGAACAATTTCAATGAGTTGTATCAATATTTTTCAGAACCCAAGGTTACTACTCCTAACCAGCCATCGACTCAAACAGTCTCTACGCTCAACACACAGGTGAGTGTCGTGTTGTACTGGAGAGATCAAAGACAAAACTAAAATTGTACTGGGTAGCCTTATCAGTTCTAAACTGATCTCCTAGAGGTCCAGTAAAAGTCATCTCTTATTGATCCAGCTGTGTCACTTCAAGACAAAGACATAATCGATTGAATATACTAAAACTGTCTGTACCAGTGTGGGTAGTACCAATGTGAAAATGCTGTGCTGAATGGTTATATTACTACCTTAAAAAATAAGCAGAAACTCGACTTTTCGACGCCTTCGCTCGAAACGTCGAGTTTCTGCTTATTTTTAAGGTAGTAATAAAACCACTCAGCACAGCATAATCGATTGAACTAACTTTATTTATTTTGGATAGCTCTATCAGGTTTAATTTGAACTGTTCTTTCCAGAGGTACTACAAGACGAAACGTAACTAAACTAATTTTATCTGAATGTGCAGTAAGGATCGTCTCTAATTGATCCTGTGTTACTGCAAGAGTAAACCTAAACTAGATTAGCTTATTTAACTTTATTTGTTACTGAATACCTTTATTAGTTCCAAACTATTCCACCTTAAGAGTCATTATCGTCTTATTGATCCAGTGTTACCACAGGAGTAAACCTAAACTAGACAACTTTATTTATACTGGATGACTGTATTATTTGTAAACTGTTCTCTCTATAAGTCCAGTAAAGGCCATCACTTATTTATCCAGTGTTATTACAGGAGGAAACCTAAACTAAACTAACTTTATTTATACTGGATAGCTCTATCAGTTTTAAATTTCCAACTATAGAGATCCAATGAGGGTCCTCTCTTTGTATTTCAGTGTATATATACTGGATGGCTTTATCAGTTCTAAAGAGTTCTCAGGAGAACTACTACAGGAGGAAATTTAAACTAAGCTTTACTTTATAGGTTTCCTCCTGTGGTAACACTGATCTAGAAAGGGATGACCCTTGTATATACTGGACGTCTAGGGAAACCTTTTTATTAAACTAACTTATTTGCATGGACAGCTTTGTCAGTTGTACACTGTTGTCCATGAAGATTTGATAAGGGCTTTCCCTTATCAGCTCAGTGAATGGACAGCTTTATCAGTTCTATAAAGTTTCTGTTGGTACAGGAGGAAACTGGAGTTGCTACAGAAGATCTGAGGTTACCATATGTCTTTTGCATTTTTTTATCCTCGTGAAATGTTCAGAACACAAAAGGCAAAGCAAAGATACCAAAGACTGTAGTGAGAACCAATGTTGGAACTACAGCGGGAACTGCGACAACCATGACACCAGCCCAAGCTGAGTGGAATGGATCTTTTCTTATCACCATGGCCATTTCTGGAACTTTTGTGGGTCTTGTCTTGGTTGCCATTGGCTGTGGCTGTTGTCTGCGTTGTGGAAGAACAAGGTTGGATAGTATTCATTCACCATCTCTCCGCGAAATGGACAGGGCTGGGAATTTTCAGCCTTCCCTTCCCCCCCCCCCTCTCAACGATTTTCATGATACTGACCGCATCTGCTCATTTGTGCTTGGTTTGCGAATTTGGTGCACCAGTACTAAAAATAAATACTAATAGTTGCTTGTTCAGCTGGCTGTATATTTTCATTGCATGAAATGTGTTTCTCCGGCTACGTGACACTGCCATTGGCTTGACCAATATTATCAGACTATTAGTTTTGAAAGGTTAAACATTATTCTTGGGCTTCCGCAGTGTCACAGTTTTGATTAAGCGTGCATGCCTGCGTTACTTTCAAAGCAGAGTAACACTCGGCTTGACCGATGCATTTTGTGTAATTGTTCTTTTACAATATGATAATCATCGGCAAAAATCTTCGCCAATTTTTTAGTTGGACATGTGTTTCACAGAAATATATCTGCCCATCATCAAGCAATATACATATGGTTACTATTACCAAAATTATTGTTAGAAATAGCTGGAAATGTACTTTCCGAGCTCGTAAATTTTCAAAATTCTTGGACTTCATCTCAACAGCAGCCTCCAATCGTAAAATGCTAAAATTGATCGCAGTCCCTGACCTCTTTACACTAACTTCAATTCTACTGGATACATCTATCAATTCTAACCTTTACTCCTTGGAGACAGCGAGTTTTAAGAAATATAGAGCTAGAACTGCACACACAGGAATGTTACGAACAAACATGCATTTTATATTTTTGTTAGCTGGGTAACTGTATCTGTGTTTTAAGAACTGGGCAGATGGGTTTAGAACTGCACCCTGCTTGGAAAAGCCCTGCATGATTAGAGACTGAACAAGTGTCATCTTTAATTGATCCACTGCTACTAGAAGAAGAAACTTTAGCTAAACTAACTCAATTTATGATGGATCAGTTGATCAGTTCCAATACGTTTTACATGAAGGTCAATGCATTAAAGCCTGCTCTTATTGGTCCAGTTTTACACCACGAAGAAATTTACCTGGAAAACATATCCCCAACCAAAATATATTATTTTCAATTTTTAGACGTAGCTTTGAAGAAGGACGTTCTAACAGCAGTACCATTGGTGAGATATGTCCATTATTGTTTTAGTGCTAACCTATAGTTGTCTTGGTGGAAAAGATAACATATATCCAAAGGATATATCCTAGAATTCAACTATATTGTTGAAAATCAAGATTTGGTGTTTTTCTGTTACAGTGACCGTTGTGAACCATCAAGAAATTTATCTGGAACCAGTTCAGTCCAATTCAACAAGGTCACTAACTGCAGATACGATATGTCATGAAAGTAACGCTCATTCGAATCATTCTAACACAGCAGTTGTGAAAACCTAGTTTTCTTGGCAGAACTATTTTTCCAAGTCTTCTTACGAGGCAAGTTGCGTATTTGCGACAAAAAGTGTTGAAAACCTAAAATCCTTTTGGCTTACCTCTCAAAGTATCCAACTTAATACATGTTTTAGCTTTATTTTGAAGTTTACACAGTCAGCAACCTTTTTATATGTATCTGGCGGTTGAGAAACACAAAACAATATTCAAACACTCATTAAGAATTCATTAGTTTATTGGCAAATCATATCAACCATAATATGCCACGTGCAGTAGCTTTAAACCTGATAAAACATTCCTAATTATTAGTATACTTTATATAAAGAATACTAATATCTATTGAATTCGTAAGCGTATTTGAAGCCGTTTAATAAACTCGCAGGAAGTGTTTTATTAGGTCTTTAAACCTAATAAAACACTCGTAAAATACGTTATACCACGCTAAATATTGGCAATTTAAATACAATTATCATTGATGCTGTAAAATTGACGCCATGTCTATACAGCAATGTATTAAGCCCAACTTACTGAATTTCAGATAAAGGTTAAGCACTAAAGATACTGTTTAAGTTTGTAAAAGTTAACAAAAAATGGAGTATAGTCATAACCAAATGAAAAGTATATTCATTAGTTTTTGAGCGCATGTTACGCGTAACATGCAAAAAAGTTCTTTTCTTAATATATTTTGCCTTTTTGGATGAAAAGTATAGGTAGCAAAATATTCAGTTGATTTAGGACATTTCGTTTATATTTAAACATACAATTATGGACCACGGACGTGATGACTGATGTTTACATAGTTTTTTTTTTCTTCAAAACCGTAATTTATTTATTTCGATATGTTAATCAGATCACACACCTAACTAGAACTAAACTTACTGGATAGCTCTATCTCAGTTCTAAAGTATGTTCTCTTTAGAGATCCAGTAAGGTTATATATCTTTTTGTACCAGTGTTACCACAGGAGAAAACGGGTGTTACTTGACGAAAGGTTTGTGGAGTCAAACTGGAAGCACTTTTCTCACATGTTATGCTGAGGTGAAATTCTTAGATGAATTCTTGTCCGCGTACATTTTTTTCTTATGTCAAAAAATGAAAACTTATTTAGGTTTTTAAATTAATTAAATAAAGTAACTTATATACTTAATAAAGTAACTTTAACTGTATACTGTTAAAAACTACATCAATAATACAACTAGCAATCGTGCAAGGAACTAGAAATGAATATAAGGTAGCAGGACCGTGCCGCCTGAGAAGGCCCCCACCTCCAATGAGAAGTCGCTCACAGAGATAGGATAAAACTTTTCCTGGGTCTGAGACCCTTACAGCAGTGCTATATTTAATAAGCTCCTTCCACAAGGTCCCAAGCTGGAAGAAGGGCCAACAAGATTAATATAAAAGTAATAAAATTAATTTTAACGGAGTCATGTTCTATTTTTGGTACCACCTCAAATTAGGGCCTGGGCTTTCATGCCCTTTCAGGTTTAAGGGCCCGAGGCAAGTCACCCTCTATATTACATTAGGGGGTCTAAAAACTATAATTACACCTTAACACAGGGCAAATTTTGTTTCTAACCCCCAACGAGAAGTCGGTCGGAACGGCCTTGCAACTATAGTTAAGATAAGGATATATCATTAAAGAAATTTGTGTCTAACGTTTTCGATTGGGGCATGTTTCTGTTGTAGAACTTCCCTTGCTTGTCAAAAGTGTGTAACATAATATATATGAAAATGTAGCGAACACCTCCAAATAACAAACAACATGCAAGCTTTACATGTCCAGAGGTTTTCACTGTATAAACGAAGGTTGATTAATTTAAATCTGTATAGTTAGTCTTTTCTTATTGTAACCAAATTTGAGTTGTTGACTCTGGTGAAGCCGAACAGCTGTGATCCTTATTCACACATTGATACCATCCAAAACTGTCTTCGCTACAGTCACCTATCTTCTTAGGTATGCCTGGTATGGTGCCACCACAGCTATCGATTGAAACTCGGTCAGTATTAACATGAAATGGGTAGGAAGCTGTCTGTGTAACTGGTATTCGACAATAGTTACAGGTTTTACCCCGGATTGTCATTTTTTGAACCTTGACGCATTTCGAGACAGCATTCGCATCCTCTAGCATGTCAAACTGTGTGAGGCTTACTTGAAATAAATCAAGCGGTCCACGCCAGCCAGATTTTTCGAAATTGCAAGATACTACCCATCTGAGAGCAAAACTTGCGAGAACTCCAATGTTTGCTTTGGACAACCGCCAAGCTTGGAAATTCACATCATTTTCGTTGATGGGTGCGTCTTGGGTAAAAGGCCTGATTTGGGAAACGTTTTGAAGCGCGTAGGATTGAATTAGTGTCATTGAAGATAACTTACCGCCACTTCCGTATTCGAATCTACAGTACACCTATAAAGAATGAGGAAGAAATAGATAGTTAGGACAATATCCATTTCAATCGTTGTGGTCCAGTGTAGACAGTATTCTACATAAGCTACTGTGGTTTGTGTGTGAACTACCTGAAAAAGGCATCTCAAATCTGGGGTCCTTTGTAGGTAGTATTCTACAATAAGCTGTGCCAAAATTTCGTATTTTGACTTCGATTTAAAAGACTAGTATTATGATTTTATGAACTGAAAACTTGATTAGTGATGCGGTTTGTTAGAAAACACTGAATTTAGATGGGGGGAATGGTATAAAAACTGTTTAAAATAGTCTTTGCGCCCTCTTGGCTTCACTTTTCTCATAGGCCGAATGACTAAAGTTCTTGCTACATATATATATATATATATATATATATATATATATATATATATATATATATATATATATATATATATATATATATATATATATACATATATATACATATATATACAAACAGGTTATAACACTGCCACGACTCCGTTATAACCTGTTTGTATATTATCTATGATTTGTCTGCCGAGCAGAGTGTGTACACTTATTGTATATATATATATATTATTTATTTATTTATTTATTTAAAAATAACGTAACCTTGGCTCACCATCTGATGCCTTATAGCTCAATGGTTAGAGCGTCTGTCCGGTAATCAGAAGGTTACGTGGTTCACTTCCCGTTAGGGCTCAGAATTTTTCTGAGTATAGGCTTGATACGCATCCACACCAAATCACATATTCTACAAGCTGCCACAAAAACACATATATATATATATATATATGTATGTATATATATATATATATATATATATATATATATATATATATATATATATATATATATATATATATATATATATATATATATATATATATATTGTGCATGACGTATATGTTGTCCGACCAAATTTAGTGACGTTGGTTTTTGTCCGACCAAATTCAAGTTTTGTCCGACCAAAATTAAAAGTGATCGGACAAATGGAGAAAACCTCGGACCCCCGAACAGGCTGCGTAGGAGACTAACAAATGTCCTGTCAAGTCAAATATTTATTTGCAGCCCTGTTAGAGGTCTACTAGAAACCTAAAAGGTTTTCAGTTAAATTAAGACCCCTATAGTTAAAAATTATGTCTCAATCAATTCCATGGGTGCCCAACCCTCCCCCCGGGCGTTTGTCGGGCATTCTCAACTGCACTTGTTCCCAGGGTCGGGCATTTGCTTTCTGCAGGTTAGCCCCGGGGTGGGGAATTTGCCCAAGGCTAAAAAATCGAATATTTATCGCTTGTTTCGCCATTTAGCCGTACTTTAGTACGCACGTTTACACGTGCGTGCCATGGTGCGTGCGTATTGCGAATTAATCATGGCGGACATACACACTTTAGACTTTTTTCTTGTCCATCCTGTTGATACATTATAGACTTACTTCCGCAGTTTGATATTGCTATATAAAGTTTTGAGATTTCAGTATTTTAATTAAAAACGTTTTGACACGAAATGGCTACATAATGAATTTTAAATACAGATATATTGATAAGTGATAGAGCTTGCATTCGATTTTTTGGATCAGAAATCCTCAGAAAACTTATATTTTGTGCCCCCAAGGGTGGGGCATTTGCGTCAATGTAAGTCCCCAAGGGTGGGGATTTTGTTGCATTATTTGGACCTCATAGTGCATGGGGCATTTGCAACGTTTTTCGCCAAAATGACAAATGCCCGACAAACGCCCGGAGGGGGGGGGGGGGGTTGGTCACCCATGGAATTGATCGAGACATTACTAAACGACTCTATTCAACAACCGTTTAATTAATTAAGTGTAAACTTCCACACATATTAGCCCAAGACATTTTATGCTCTAAATTGAAATACAATTATTTTTATAGATTGGTCGGAGACAGCTGCGAGATATTGCTTTATTATTAATTAAACCTCAAGGCGATTATTATATTTTTTGAAAATTTTCAATTTTAGAACACAGTCCGGAATGACCATTTCCTGCGTAATTATTGTGAGCTGTCGGGATACAAGGAAAAATTTTAATACTTTTATTTGAGGAGAAAATTATCGAACGATTTATGATTTCTATATATAATTAGCGTAACCTAAAAGCAGACTGAGTGTTGATATAGGTACATTAATTCATATAGGTTTTTCATATAGGTACATTCATGCAAGTAGCAGCTGTTTCTGTGTTTCTTTCGAAAGAATATATATTAGCATCATGGATACGGGACTAAATCTACTAGGGGTTCGGGGGAATGTTCCTCGGAGAAAATTTTGAATATTTAGACCGCGATCGATATCAGAAAGGCTGGAGACGCAACTAAAATTTCGCATTTTTAGCTTGCGTTCACTTTTAACTTCCACGTTTGCAAGTTAAAGCTCTAATAATTTGCCTGAAAATTTGGATTTAAATAATTGCATTTTAATTTAGAGCATCATTATATATATTGTGTTCAAATATATGGAAATTCAGATAATTAAACGGCTGTTGAGTAGAATCTTTTATTTTGTACATATTTTTCTTTTAAATTTAATGCGTTCCATTTTGTAATATTGGCCCTTGAATGGATAGCAGTCAAAATAGAAATAACT